ATTTCGCAATAATCTTGCGCCACCCTTGCACAAAACGACGATCATTTTTCTAATTTCATAGATAACAGAAGACTGTATTTTTTCTACATAACCCCTCCCCCCCCTGACTTTAAAGCTGGATCCGCCCCTGCTAGTGCGCTCTAAATGTCGTCAAAATATCTTCAAACCTTCAAACATTCATTCACATCACATGAAATCCTGAATTTTGCGCGCTTCTTAAATGTTGATTTGAAAATGAAAGCTTTTACACAACTGCAGATTCTTCGTTTTTTTTAATGAAATTTTGCCAAAAAGTTGCACCTATAAAAAATCCATAAAACTTCAGTGCTTGTCGAAAAACTAAACTCAGTTCAAGCTAAAAGATTTATAGATTAGAGATCATTCTTACCAGCTTTCTGCAAGCTGGGGCGCCATCCTCGATTTTCTACCTATTAAGTTCACTACACTTTCACAAACTACCGCACTTGCCATAAGGTTCACAATGATTCTAAATGTCTCATGTAAGAACGCGATTCATTCAACACAAAGGATAATCGACCAATTTCATCCTCTGTCGGTAACAAACTGAACATTCATTCATTCAAACACCTTTTCGACAAAAACGACACCGAACTACAGAATAAAAATGATTATTTTTAATCGTTCGCCCGCGTTTAATTGTTCGTCCTTTCGATGAGTCATGTTTTACTTCGCAGGTCGATTTCAGGATATTGTTGACATTTTTGTAGAAAGTGTCCGTTCGCATTGCAATATTTCTAAAGGCAAGTTTCACGTTCCAACTTAACGAAAGTCAACAACCGCTAAACGAAAAACGCTCCAAGCGCCGATCTTTCACTAATTTGGCTTTAAATTTAGAGCCTTTTATATTTGTCTGAATTTCATTCATCTGCAGTGATTAATGCACAACGCCGAAACTCAAATTAAAAACCGAATTTTGTTTTGTTTCTAAAAATATTGACTAAACAAAAAAAAACATGAAGGAATCATTTAAAATAAAAGTGTTGCTCAGTTAATTAATTTCCGAGCGATGATAGAAACCAACGAAGTTTCAACTAATTAAAAATGTTCTTGCAATTCGACGTGCGGCGCATTGAGGTGCGATGACTTATAGCACGTTAACAACTCACTAGCGCAACTCAACACAGTGTTACCCAGAGACAAGGGATAACTATATATTTCATGTAATTCGGTTAATGTAGTTCTATAATATTTCTTGTCTCTGGTGTTACCCAGGCCTATTAGGGCCATTAAATTATCTACCGTTTTTCACCTATCCATTCTACCGCTTTCAAAGTTCTTGGTCTGACAACGCTGCATATCGTATACATCTATAGACCATAGATGGGGGCTCATGGTTCTCTGCCTCTTTCTTTCTACCTGAACCCGTCGGCTTCTGCTTTTTCTATCCCTGTGCTTTAGACAAGGAAACAGTAAGGATGTTTTTGCCAAAGATCCATGCACTTTATCCGCTGTGTCTACATTTACTCTCTATGTTTACTCTGAAGAACGCCATCACAGATCGGGCACAGATTATAGATAACCTCCATGGTCGTCATGTGAACTCATTTTTGGCAGAGACAGGTGTTGTTGCTTTACAAATTGGTACCAGTTCTAATATATATATAGTTTCCGTATTTAAATATGTGTTTTATTTATTTTGTTTATTTGTCTCTCTCTCTGTGTTCTATGTTTTTTATCAGTGTCGCCAATGCCCTAAAACCATGGTCTAATTAAAAATGACTTTCTGATTGCCAATAAATATACCGCTTACTACCTGTAAACCAGCTTCATCTATGTGAGAACCAACTCTCACCGCAGGAAAATTTATTGAAACTTGCATATATGTGGGCATTTCATTAAAACTACTAAAGTAAATTTACATTTCCCGCACATGGGACCGGATTCGGAAACAGCTCAACTGACAAAGGAAAACAGACACCATCTTGAATTCGGACAAATCCGACGCCCTGATTGGTCGAATCAAAAACAGATGCGTCAAAGCTGAAAGTGAACGGTTTTAGTTCCAGTTGTTTAGCTTAAGCTTATTTTTATACCGGAAAAGTTCATTTTGTGCATTGTATAGTCTAGTTTAATATATAAATTTGTGACCGAAGGTCGAAGAATGTCTGGTTCAACTAGTTTCCAAGAAGACTTTAGAGATGTAGACAACGAAGGCAATAATTCCTCCGGTTGTTTAGACATGTCTTTCGAGACGTCTGGGGAGAATTTTCCTCTCAGCCCTCAGCCGATCCGGAGGAAAGATACTTTCAGGTAATATTAAATAGCTGTGTGTGTTTGGAGTTCTTTAAAAGATAGCTGGGTTGTTTTGCTTCTTTGTTTTCGTGTTAAGTAGGTTAGCGTGGTATCCTTGTGTATCACATCATACAACTAACGATCACAAGGTTTAAACTGGAATTATTTAATGGCACTTTGAATTTGTGTAATTACCGCTAAAAACTATAAGGACTAAGTGCGAGTTCGAATTATATCTGCAGCCTGTTTTTGCTTCTAATGACAACCGCATGCATGGCGTGGAAAACGAACACTTATCACTTTCAGCTGTGCAAACGTGAAATAATGCTAGTAATTGTTGCAGGACTGAATTCTCGAGATTGCCAGCCCCGAAAAAACTCACATTCAGCCCTCCGTATAAGCGGGTCAGGGCTTTGAGGCTGTTCGACAGCCCCCTTACACCAAAAACGATTATTGAGAAATCTTCAGTTCCGACAACGCCATTGCCTAGAAGCAGATTATTTGGGGACAGGCCGGTGGCAGTCCCAAGCGCTTATGCAGAAAGGATCAAACCGACTGCTAATGTTAACCCATTCACCCCAGATGGTAGAAAAAATGTGGAATACCAAAGCGATCTGCTAACCTATGTTGTTTTTAGCCCAACTGTTGTCTAAGAAAAGATCTCGATCATTGAGGTCGTTAGAATCGCCTAATCTGAAGATAACTAGAGTGGATTTAAACGACTCAGATGTTTCGGATTATGATATTGAACAGCCGACTAAGAGAGTTGCTTTACAGGTGAGAGTTTGCTACTTACAGGTTTTAATGTACAAACCTTAATTTTTCTGCAGTTAAAGTTACAACACTCTTAACCCATAACTGATTTTTTACTTTCTTATTAGGTTAGATAAGAAATTAAGAATGTTTTATTATTTAGAAGTCGCCCTTTGATTACTGTCGGGCTGTACGACGTACGTACGTATTCAACAGCAGCAAAATAGTCTTCACAATTTAAGTCTGAAAACTATCGACTGTACGGTCTGAGAAATTTTAATCATCGTCGAAAATGTCTAACAATTTCATTAGTCAGTGGATCTTTTCTAGAAGAAAAATGCTACAAACATATGTCAGATGTTATCCATCTAGAAAACTATAAATGAGTAGATTCGCTGGTTACATATCATAAAAAGTTATAAAACAGATACATGTCCAAAAACCTATAACTTATTAATTTACCCACGAATTAGAAAAAACTCTGGCATTTCACAAAGAACCCTGAAGGGTTAACTCAGTTTTTGCTAGTTACACGTTAAAGCAACATCGCTAATGTTTGTTGACCATGATTTATCTTTCCAGGAAAGCAACATTCCGAGATATCACAGGGAGTTTTTAGAAATCGAACTAATTGGAAAAGGTGAATTTGGTAGTGTATTCAAATGCGTTAACCGACTTGATGGTTGTGTCTATGCCATTAAAAAATCAACTAAACCTGTAGCTGGAAGTGTATCGGAAAAAACGGCCCTAAACGAAGTGTATGCTCACGCTGTTCTAGGTACTAATCCAATTTCCAGTTTATAACAATAAAACACCAGTAAATTTAATTTTAGAATCAATAACTATTCAACAAACTATCATTTTTAGGTAAACATCAGCATGTAGTGCGCTACTACTCAGCCTGGGCAGAAGACAATCACATGATAATTCAAAATGAGTTTTGTAATGGCGGCTCATTAGCCGACAAAATTGCGAATGAACCTCTCAGTGCCATGGAATTACGGAGAATGCTGCTACATGTTGCTGAAGGACTAAATTACATTCACTCTGAGGAACTGGTACATTTGGACATTAAGCCTGGAAACATATTTATCTCCATTGAAAAAAAGGTACAACATCGACTGGAATTCAATTTTTTTAGTTACTTTCACCCGGCTGTTGTTTTCAGATTAATACAAGAACAGCCGACGCGACAGATGATGGATTCGAAGACTTAGATGAAACGCAACTGTATGACGAAGTGGTAACATACAAAATTGGAGATTTAGGCCACGTGACCAGCATCAATAATCCTCAAGTACGAATCAATTACACTCCAAAGTGGAGCAGTTTCGCTAATTAGAAACTTTTTTTAGGTTGAAGAAGGCGATTGTCGCTATTTGCCGAACGAAATCCTCCATGAAGACTACACGCACTTGCATAAAGCTGATGTATTTGCAATGGGACTCACAGCGTTAGAGTGTGCTGGTGCGGGACCGTTACCCAAAAATGGCCCCAAATGGCATGCGATCAGAGAAGGACAAATTCCTCCACTTTCCCAAAAATTGACCAAGGATTTACTCGAACTCATTAAGTAAGTGATCGCCGACAAAACCACTATATTGGTTGTCGTAATTAATATATACCTTTTTTACCAGATCAATGATCCATCCTAATCCAACGCAAAGACCGAAAGCTTCACAAATTTTGCAACATGGAGCTCTTAATCCAGACTGCAGTAAATCCAAAGCCGATTTAACAAGAGAGTTAAGCGCAGAAAAATTGAGGAATGAAATGTTAGTGAAACAGCTAAAGGTAAGTTATCTTTAATTAATTCGATTTGAAAGAACTGTTTCCGATGAGTTGTTTTAATTTAGTTGGCAGCTATGTGTATGAAGTCTATACAAAACACCAGAATAATTGGAAAGCAAGTGAACCGTAGCGTCAGCACTACTAGCTTTTAACAATTTAGAAGTTTAGGGTCAAAAGTACAGAATTCAAGTCAATTCATGCATTTTTTGTTATAGTATTTCTTTATCTGTTGAAGACTAGATCGACGTAAGAATACAGAGCTACACTTAATGTTCTGGAATTACGAGGCGGCAAAAACATATTTTAATTTCTTTCTTTGTTTGATATAGTTTTAATTAATTAACTTTTTGTAATGCTTTTATCAGTTTCTTTTTAATGAAGCTTGGCAATCAGGTAAAAACCACACTTAATTGTTGATTTTTTTAAACTATTTTCTACAACGTTCATTACATGACCGCGTAGAAACTGTTTGCAAGAAATATCAATCGATACATTTAATTTGTCTATTCTGACAATTAGTTTAGTTTTTAATTTTCAAGACATTTTCAAAATTCAAACAATTCATTTAAAAACAAAACAAACACAAGTTCCACCGTTACCTTATATTTGAAACAACTATCAATATATATTAAGTAATCTGATCTAAATAAATGTAAGTAATTTGTTGTCACGTATTTTTACTTGCCATTTAACGTATTTATTATAAAACTATGTCTTGAAATAGTTTATAACTATTTCTTGAAATAGTCTTAGATCTCTTGAAAATATTTTCATTTCCCGACAATCAAAGAGCTTGACCTATGACATGTTTTTCAATTACAAATATTATAAAGTATGTGCTTGACTGATCCCGAAAAATTGCTTGCTATGAAGTTATATCTAGGCACTGACAATTTCGCATTTAATTTTATTCAAATTTTTTCACAGCAAGTTTCACGCATTGTTTCTTTATTATACAGTCCAACTGTTTTCAACATTTAGTCGATTGTATAACAGGCTTTAAATTGTTTTTTTTTATTAGCTTAGCTAATTTAGAAAAGGTATTTTATTGCAGTTTACACAATGGCAATGTTTTCATTTTTGAAACTTCAAGAAATCCCTTGTTTACTGTTCAGGGATTTGAAGACATTTTTAATGTTTAGCTGTATTATCGTGAATTTCGCTGGTTGCTTGTAGCTAAATTTACATCTGAACTCCATTATCAAATTGATTAAAGTGCGAAACAGTTTATTTGGTAGTGGATGAAATGCAACAACTCAAAAAAAATGTATTAGTTGACAGTTGAAGTCTTTGAAAAGGCTATTCATACTTTTTATACAGAAACTAAGATCAAATGCTTAAGGTTTCGTTAGAAAAATTGGCATTAAATAAAAAAACTTTCGCTTTTAAACCGCGCACTTCAGAAAATATTTGTTTGTATAAAAATAAGGACGGCTTAATTTAATGGACTAGTGCGCGTGCACGTATTATGCAAATATACTTTATTACCTGGATAGTTATTAATGATCTGTTTACATTTTTTGTGGTTGTTTTTATGTTGGCTATTGGACTGCTAGAATGAAAGTTTGCTTTAAAATATACTGATTTTATACAAACTTCTTCATTCAATGCCTGTATCCGCCTATTTAGTTACAGACAGCACTGAATAAAATAGTTGAAAAATAGTCATATTTCAATATTCCGAAGAAATGCAATAGACATTTGTAATTACGTGGACAATATGTGTTTAGAGCTCTGATTCTTATAGTCGAGATGATAATTTTTCTCAGTATTGAACTTCTTTTTTATACATGTTTTAAAGTTTTGTATGTTTTGATCATGTTAAAATGTACTAAAGCTGTTTTTTATTTTAGGATTCTAAGTTATTTTTAAGGTTACTTGAATACTATACTCCCGCCCTAATTTGAAGGTTTTTTGAAAAGGCCACTATCAGCAAACAGTGCGTCAAAACTGATCAGCACTTTTTAAATTGAAAATGGGCTTCTCAAAATTCGCTTCAAATAATAAACCTACTTTCGCCGGCAATAACTGTATACCAATAAAAAATTCGTTTTATTAATTTTAGGATTTATAAATTCTATATATTTTTATGAGGTGTTAGTTGGTAGGCAGGTTTGCTTCAAATATTCCTGTATTACTTACACTTAGCCATTTTTACTTCAGCGCAGGATAATCTTTATATTGATGGACACACACTATAATCAAAAAAATACTCCGATAATTTCATTTTAATCGGTAAATCTTGGGCATTCCTGAATAAACTAACGCCTTTTGCAGTTTTTTCCTTTACAGTTGAACATTTTTTGTGATATCAATGTGAAGATAGGCTAAATATACGTTTAGATGTAATAAATTCCTTAAGAAATGGCTGTAGAATGTTTCTAATTTAGTAGTTTTTGACATGTTGGTTTTTATATTTCTTGTAGTTTTTTAATGATTGTGATTACGCGACGTAGCTGAAAGGTTCACTGGTTAGGCATTAACAAGAGCAAGTGTAAAACATTGGGATATTTATCGAAAAGCTGAAAACAACAAGCGGTGCATATATTCTCAGTTGAATTTAATAGGTTTGTATTTACATCACTAGAAAATATTTAATAATCCTAAATGATAACTCAGACACCTGTGCTACCATTGTTATACGTTTCCTCCATTACATAGATAAATATATTTGTCAATATTGTAATAAGTCTGTTTTTGAATCGTTACACTCTTGTCTTTTTGTGCTTACGCATTTTAGTACCCTGATAGCATAGAAGATTCATGGAACTTATAAATTATACTTAAGGCTAGTTAAACTACAGTACTGTGGTTGTGGACGAAGTTCACAGAAATCGACCAATCTTGGGCATATTGACTTTGTTTTAAGGAACTGAACCAATATTTTTTCTTTCTATATTTCAGAAATCTCCACCAATTTTTTAATGCTTTGTTCGGTTTCTCAAAACACTCGATTATGTCGAAAGCGGGTCATTTCTTTATACATGTACTTGCTTTTATAATTGTTGTTTTTAACTACTTTTGTCTACTGTAAGTTTAACTCACTAAAGCTTACACAGCTCAATACATTCCTATCTTATTTCTGCTTAAGTTCTAATAATACAGTAACTTTAATATTGGATGTTAACTATGTTTTTCCGTCTATTAATTATACATTTTAAAATACGTTTTGGTTCTCTGTTTTTGGTGTTATTTGTTTGCTTTTCCACACCAGCTTTGGACACATAAGAAATTGACATAAATCGAGTTAATGATATGTATTATAACTTCTACGAGGTAATTAAATGCGCGTTTTCAGCAAGTGCATAGGGTTGGGTAGCGATGAACTATTTTTATGTAGAAAGGAAGATATGAATGTGCACAAAATCAGCCTTGAGGCTTTGCTATAAAGCATAGCTTAGGAAGCCACGGAAGGCGAATTACTTATTTCAACAAAACTTTTTTCTATGGCAAAATATTGTTTAAGCCGTTATGTAAACCCCAAAACATTGGCTAAATAACAAAACTATGATAACAAAAATCTATGAAAACTATGAAATCCGTACAAATCACATAAAATAAACAGTTAAATCAATACTCACTTTCCATCATTCGCTCTCATCGAAATTGCGTCTAATAAAATATTTCTCGGGTTTGATCAGCTTTTTATCCAACCCAGAAGCGTTTGATCCAAAAATATTTTTTATCATGTCTATGCTCACGTTCCACAGAGTCCGAGCCATCTCATCATTGCGAGCCGCGTCGCTTTCCTGGCATGGGCAGCAGTTGTTAAAGTAAACTCCTTAAACGAAAGTATTTATTAGTGCACTTTCCGTATAGAAAACAATGATGCAGCTAAAAGTATACCTGTAACTCCAATCACATCAGGCGCTGTAGCACAGTAAACTGACGTCGCCGAGGCCTGTTGAAGGCTCTTAGTAAAGGGGCGTACAAAGGCGAAGAGCAATTTATACAGCCACCAATTCCTGCTGAGTTTAGTGGCGACCATATTTCCCGGATGCAGGCTGTTAAATACGAAAAATATTGAAATCAGTGTGTTGTTATTAGGTATACATTGCAGACCTGAATACTGATATTCCTCTGTTTTGAAGATTTTTGGCTAGCTGACGACCGAACAAGACATTGCACAGTTTCGAGTTGTTATAAGCAGTCATGTCCCAGTAGTGTCGGCTTGTGTCCGGGGAAAGTGTCAGAGGCTCTATATTGTCCATAGTTAGACTGGAAAACCTATTTGGAAATGTTATTTAAACTGTTGGTTTTAACACGGTGAATGGCTCTTACCTATGAGATTCTGATGAGACAATTACCACGCGAGATCCCAAGATCAAAAGCGGGTCTAATAATAAAGTCAGGTAGAATTGGCTCAGATGGTTCACTTGGAAAGTCATTTCCAGTCCATCTGGAGTTTTGGAGAACGGCAGCCCAAAAACGCCGGCGTTGAGAATGAGCATGTCGATGTGCTTGTATCTGCTTTTGATGGTATTTGCAAATTGAACAACTACAAGAGGTAACGATCTAAAAATCTCAGGTATTTTGGTGAAGTAAGAACTAATGTATCTAATCAATGACCGCAACTTTGACTGAGATAAAGAAAGATTTATCAACATTCAGTGAGCTCAATGAATGGCCTTGACTCAATTAGCTCAAAAAACTCTATTTCAATTCAACTCTACTGAACATTTTCTTATCGTTACCTGATGCGAGCGAAACTAGATCCAAATGTATAGCCACACAGTTATCAGCAATGTTCAGTCTTTCTTCGGTTCTGATTTTTTCGATGGCTTCTTCGGCAGCTGACAGATTTCTGCAGGCAAATATAACGGTGCATCCATGTTTGGCCAAAGATCGGGCTGTTTCGAACCCAATTCCCGAATTCGCCCCTGTTATTACTGCAATCCTGCCAGAAAGGTCTCTGCCGACAAGAACCTTAAATTAGAAAAATCGTTTCGTTTTAATAGAGATTGTTGAATTGAATAGCGAACATTTCCGTACTAACCAACAAGAAAATGCTGTAAAAATTAAAAGCCGCAAGTTTTAGCGACTGTAGCTTACCCCAAGGGCAGTGCTGGACGCATCAAATCGTTGTCTGTAGTCGTTGGCATGTTCTTTTTCTTCCACAGCGAAAGCTAAGCGAGGGTCTGTATAAGTGGTGCTTTCGTCTTCATGGTTCACGTACACTACTTCTCCATTTGAAGAAACTACTCTAGAAGCCAAGGAGACAAATTCATTGGTCATGTCTTGATGCAGTGATTGTGAAATCGCTACCTTTCCCATCCAAATGGAAGTGTTCCAGCCACTTTCTTCTTTCTTCCAGTTCTGGGATGTGTCCACTGGGTGTTCTTTGTTAGGTGATTGGCATAATAAACTGAACCGTCTGTAGCTACCTGCATGGCGAATAGCAAATATATTATTTAATCTAGCGGATAGATTTATAGTGGTGAAATTCTCACCCGTTCTTCCCAGCCAGGGGGCAACTCATCATCACTGTCATCATCCACAAAATTCATTGCTTTCTCAGGTCTGTATTGCCGAGTTTTTGGTTAATAAACAGCCGCAATTCGCCCCGCAACTTTCTAGTAGCAATACTTTACATTTTTAACAGAATAATTCGCAAATTTTCCCCATCATTTGATTTAAGAGCCAACTAAATAAGTGTCAGATTGGGGAGTTTTCAAACCAGAAACAGCTGACTCAAGTCAGGTTAGATATGAATTATAACCAGAGACAAGTACTTGTCTCTGTTATAACTGAATTTTTTAGGGTTTTTCCATTCACTGCAAGCTGATTTGAGCTATAAAAACTACTGTATGATGATGTCAGAACGAATGATAGAGTGTTACTAAATCGGATTGTTCGCATTCTTTAAGTTACTGGCTACCCTTTTTACTGGCATATTTCGGGCAGTGTCATTGATCCGGACTACACAAGTTTAACAAGCGAATTTCTCAGATGATGTAAGCGAAAAATACCTTTTTCGTATGAATATGAGCATAAAATGTCCAATTCTTCAGTGATAAGCTTTCAAGCCGTAATAAACGTCAATTCTCGTCATTTCCGTTACCGATCGGCGAATGAGATAGTCTTTTGTTTATTATGGTATGGGGTAAGCGGTGCATATTTTGCTCCGCTAACATTTGAAAAATTCCCAAAATATTTCCATTTTTATCTGTAAAGTTAGTGATTTTCTGAAAAACCAAGTATTTCTTCACTGTTCGGTTGTTTTTTCCCAACGGGTAGTGCGTTTTTAACCGAAAAATCCGATGATTCAAATTTGGAATCTTTCTGACGTCTATTGCCAAATGCAACGGCCTTCTTTGGATAAGCCGACTTGCTTTTGTGACAAAAAAGTGGACGAGATTTTGAAAACATTTTGGAGTTTGATTGTATTGTTTCGATCGTTTTTTCAAAAAAGTGTGACTATGGCAAAGCAGTAGAAATGAATACCGAAGCTTACAGTAAGAGCGACTTTTTTAAACTTTAATCTCGTCGAAAGGCAAAATGCGCATTATATAACGCCAATTCTTCAGTGATAAGCTTTCAAACCTGATAAACGTCAAATCTCGGCAATTTCCGTGACCGATCGGCGAATGAGATAGTTTTTTGTTTATTATGGTATGGGGAAAGCGGTGCATATTTTGCTCCGTTAACATTTGAAAAATTCCCAACAGATTTCCATTTTTATCCGAAAAGTTAGTGATTTTCTGAAAAACCAAGTGTTTCTTCACTGTTCGGTGGTGTTTTCCCAACCGGTAGTGCGTTTTTAACTGAAAAATGTGATGATTCAAATTTGGAATCTTTCTGACGTCTATTGCCAATTGCAACGGCCATCTTTGGATGCGCCGACCTGCTTTTGTGACAAAAAAATGGCCGAGATAATATTTTACTTTCTCTATGGCAGTAAGTGCTACTTTTTTAACCTTTAATCTCCTCAAAAGGCAAAATGCGCATAATATAAAGCCACAAACATTAAACTAAAAAATACTACATTATCCAGGCACATAATATATTAAGTAAACAGCGTATTTAAAAATGATACAATTTGAAGGACTCTACATATGTATGTAGGCTAACATGGCTTGGCCATTTGGGAAGTACAATTTTATGACTTTGCAAATTCCCGTTTTTCATTTTACTGTGTTATTTCAATTTAACTGTCCCACTTTTTAAATTCCATTCCATCTGGAGGCTTGACATCCACTTTAGTTTTGGACACTTCGTTCCAATTAGTGCTTAGTACGGTTCCACCGCTTTCCATCTGAAAACAATTATTATGATTGTAGTCACAATAAGGACCCCAATTTGCTTCGCTTACAAAGCTCTTGTTCATGGCTTTCCTCACTTCGTCACTCCCTTTGCCATAAATTTCCTTGAAAAGCTTATTCAATGCCTCCTCGCCCTCAGGTTTTTCTTGTTCTTCCTGTTTTTTAATCTCCTTCTCTACTTGGTTCCAATCCTTGCCTTTCTTTGATGTTGGGTATGAGGGAGGATGGCTTAGTTCAGTAGCATGTTCTACATTTGATTAAAAAAAACCAACGTCACACATCACGCATCGTTTCCTTTTATCTTACCTTGTGGTACGACTTTTACATTCTCCGCTGGTTTTCCTTCCAATTTCTCCCATCTAATACATTCAGTCTTTTTCAGTTGGATTTCAATCTGAAGTAAAATGTGGTTAAACTGATCAAATCTGCTTGTATTATATTACTTGGGCTTTACCTTTGAAGATGTCAGTTTATAACCACTCTGGTCAGGTACGATTTTATGAGAAACGTTAAAGCATTTGGAATACTCTTCGAACTCAGGCACCGAAATCTTCATTTCGACTTGCGAGTTTGTAAAAGTGATTTTCAATTGGTCTTTTTTGAGATTCTTGATGAGGACTGTAATCACCACTGCAGAGTCTGTTTGGTACCAGTCATGCTTCACATGAAGTACAGGCCTCAGCTAAAAATAATACAATTTGTCTTTCAATGAACACAAAAAACAAAGCAAAGTTGCAATTAAGTACGTATTTTCCAATTTGATACTATTGAGACAACGCGGAACTTACCGAATCAGACATTATGAGGACGCAAATATTCTCTAATAATAATTAAGGGAAAGTCAGATGAAATTTACTAGTTTAAATCGATTTTTTCGCTTTGTATTGTTACTATTTATGGGCACTTCAGGGACTTTATATAAAAAGTTTATTATTGAGACGTCACATTAGGACATAGAAACGTCAAAGTCAAAATTCCTGACATTAAATGCAGTAGGTTCGGCAACCTGCAGGTGCGGAGACACCATTCAATTTAATTTATTTAATAATTAATTTAGAAAATCTAGATAAAATATTTAAATTTACTGAATAACTCATTTCAAATAGTGTTATAACAGTTACTATTTTCAAATTCAAAATGAACTGGCCAATGTAATATAATTAAAGCAGTTGAGACCGTAAATTGTTTGTATTTTAATAGAAATGCGAGTGAAAAAAAGCACATTTTTGCAGAAATGAAGAATTTGTAATAAGTGGAAATTTTAAGAGTGCCGTTCAGTTCATTTCATCAAAAAAGATACATCAAACAACTCATTTCATCAGGCATTTTCCAGTTTATTAGGACATTTTAAGTTAAGAATATGCTCGTCTCACACCAAAGTCATGGGGACTTGATGGGGTTTAAAATGACATCGGTTATTTATCTTTGGGTGATGGCTGTTTTCCCCAAAACGCCCAAAAATACCATTTCCGCACATATATTCCCAAAACCAAAGTTTGCCATTGTAAACCCGCATTGTACCTAAATAAATCACCGTAGTTTTTTTTTGTATAACTTTATTTATTTTACAAATATTGCGAAGGCACAAATCTCAAAAAATAACAATTTAACAACGAATTATTGTTAGGTATATCATGTAAGAATATTAATTATAAATGAAAAGGAGCAAAAAGTAATACATAAATTACAATAAAACAAATTCCTTAAACATAAGTATAAGAAGAATTAAAATCTAGAGCTGTTTCAAGACATGCACTCAATATTTCATATTTTTCATGCCCTCAGTATTGCGTTTCTTTAGGAAACAGGCCTTAGTTGAAGCTTGTGATATTGTCTCAATTTTGGTTAAAGTAAACATTTAATTTAAGTAATACAATTCTCTAATCTAGATCCCTATGCAATAACAATCAGATCAAGAGTGCTCTAAAATACTGTATGATGTTCTTTGTAGTGAAATGCTCGATATTTATCCATATTTTAGAGCACTGGAAACTAATAATAAAAAATTAGGTTTGATGAGCTAATCAAAAAATAGATGTAACTTGCATGGTTGCGCGAGCTCTACTGCAATAATAACAATTTTTTCTACATCGAATTAAAGAGAAAGCTTAATAAACTAATCAGGAGTGAAACCAACATGTTTGAAAATCTCTAATTTAGTCTATTTAGAATATAGAATGAGCGTATTAATATGGCCGTTTCTAAATCATTTCGTACACCTTTTAAAATCGATTTTAGCCCACATAAACACTTTGCATAAAATACTTACTGTAAGAACATATGGTATCTCAGTAATTGCGATTTTAAAAGGCATAAATCGTAACAATTATCCTAGATATTGCAAAATTCAATCAATCATTAATCAGACGAAAATTATAAATTGAACATTGTCTTTGAGTTTGCGTTGATATAGGACAATTTTGCCAGCTGTTCAAAAACACATCTAAAACCGTGATGAAATAAGAGTCACAATGTTTCATCAGCTTCGATAGACTGAATAAATGTTCAAATGTTGAAAATTATGTTCCAGGTTTTCCATCCGCTACATACTGAGTTGCAAGGTTTTCATTGAGCATCTATACATTAAAACAAGATACATCAAACAGTCGCAAAAGGCTCAGGGATTATGGCGCAGCGGATGTAAAACTCTCAAAATGCAAAATATAAAAACACAAATAGATTTTTTGTATGATTTTTTAAATCTTTGCAAACATAACTGCAATCAGGCATTCTGACAAAAGATTCCAGGTAGTTTGGGGTTTATTTGAATTGCTTTTGATGCAATTGCCTAATGAAACTGTGTTTGATTTTGCAACTACATCATTAAATGTTCCCATATAAACAAATGACCGAGAATAATATGTCATGTTGTCCATTTTTTCTGCTAACTGTTTAAAGTTGCTAGATAAATATCATGTTTATATGGGAAAATTACTGTTTTATAATAGAAATTGCCCGTGGAGTGTTTGCTATGTTGGCGGCACTATTAATTTAGTGTTAAAAAACACTCAATGATGTTAAATATACTTATTACATAATAACGATGATATTTCGATTTAAGCTAGAAAAGAATTTAGGAAATTGTAAATTCTTATCCAACCAGTGAGTCACATGAACCGATACTTTCGACACATCCCTTTTCTAAAAGTAAACTTAGGTACTTTTTATTGCATATTAAATGTAAGTCTTTTATTTGATGTGTACTTTGGATTTATGTCAGCTCAGTGATAAATAATATACATGTTCAGTAGAGGTGTTAGCCTGAACACCAACATCGTGAAATATTTAACATCTTAGCTCGAAGCATTTTTATTTGTACATATTTCATATACTTTATTTCCTAAAGTGTATAAAATGTAATTTTCGTTTATTGTACAGAAGACATGTTGGCAACAGCATATATCGAATCACACGACCTTAGACGAGGTCTTTAAATACGGTACTGAGACGATTAAGATAATTGTCATTGGTGTCCGATACTGTAGCTAAAAGCCAAGTCAGCTACACCGGTGATATATGAATAGGTAACAAATCGCAACGATATAGTATGGGAGTAAGAAAAAACGTCAACAAGAAAATATACATATCAATAGTTCAATGAAACGCAACAACCTCACTGCAGGCTGCAGCAAACCCCACGGTAAGGCAAGTGTTTTTGGTGAGGAACGTCCTTTGGGTTTTCGCCAATGTCTTGTTGAAGATTCAAAAATGCCTCATTTTGGCCGTACTTGCTTTCATAAACCTCAATCTGCTCATCGTCCTGCTTTATACTATCAGTCCTACATTTATCACAACTTTCACTGTCGGCGCATATTTTGCTTGCATCGTGAGTAACGTCTTTCGATAAATCACAGTCTTTTGAGACAACCGGCAACTCATTTTCCCAATACTCCAGTAGATCAGGTTGTTCCGGACTTAATGTTTCCTCCGACGAAAATATCGTGACCTCCTCGTCTAAATCTGAATCTAGATGGTCAGTCGGTTCGTTGTTGCCAAACTCCTTTTGAATATCAGAAGGGCTCTTAAGAATCTCTACTTCGGGGGTTGCATCTCTTGTTTTGCACATCCACTCCATCACGGCCTGAGTGATGGGATAGAGTTTTTTATCATCTTGTGGAACATTCCTTTCCTCTTCCACTGGAGTTTCGGGTTCCAAAGGAGCCGACTGGGCGTGCGAAGCATGTTCTAGCACAAGTCCAGCGCCCGGATCGGCATCGTCTGTAGTGGAAGAACATGTTTTAGTACCTTGATCATCATTATCACCAACATCTACTTTAATATCGCTATTATCATCACTTACCATGTTCGGTTTAAGAAACTGCCTCGTACTCTGGAATATTCTGTTAAAATCGGGCGCCTTCACTATCGGAGCCGGTTTGTCTTTGCCAGGGGCCACAATCGCTCCCACATTTTTAAAGAATTCATCGGTTTCGGGCTCGACGCTTAAACACTTCATTTTTTCCTGCAGTGAGCTAAACATTCCTTTCTGAATGAGCTGGTCGAGTTCCAAAGAAACCTCGTCATTAGTCTTGCCAATAACCTCATTCAAAGCGCTGTTTTCTAATGCAGAGTCATCGGCCAGTTCAGAGGGGAAATTGGAAACTGGCTTGGCGGACTTGTTTTTCTTCTTCTTTCTTGTCTTTTTTTCCAGTTGGGCAGTCACTTTCTCCTCGCTTGATTCGTCCTCAACTTTTACTTCCACAGCTTCCTCAATGGCAACCGGTGGCATTTCAGGCTTTGCCTTCAATGATTTAGTTTCTTCAACTTTCTTTATTGGTGTTTTCATTTCGGGTGTAGCAACTGCGTCATTGAAAATGTCGGTGATGATAATTTTCTTCATTAGCGGCTTCTGGGTTCCTTTTTTGGACTTTTTCTTCAGCTTAAGACTGTTTTCTTCATGTTCTAGTTCTTGTATTGCGTCATTTGCAATGGGTTCAACTGAAGCCTTGGTGCTTTCTGTTGTATTAGTTGCGTCATCCCTGGTTGGTTCGGTCGATATAAGCAAATCGTCTTTATTTGGCTCATTTGAGGGCTGCTGTTGCTCCTCAATTTTAACGATAATGTCTTTTTCGATATCACTCACCTCGGGAATATTGCTGATGTTAGCAGGTTGGAGTTCGGCAGTTTCCGTTTGAGCTATTGTGGATAATATATCTTCAATGCGTTTTTCGTGGTTTTTGGACGCTTCCACTTCAGAAGTGGGAATCACATCAACCAGTTGGTTCACGTCGTAACTCTCGAAGTCCGAAGAGCGATCAGAGGAGTCGTGCAAGTCCAACATTTCTTGTAGTGGCTCAGAATCTGCATCAATGCTTTTGTTTTTCTTCTTTTTTCGGTTGTTTACTGATATCCATTGATTGTTGGCTTTTGATTTGCTTTCAACAATTTTAGGATCTTCATTGGACTTTTTCAAGACGACAGTGTTTACGCACACGGTTTTTGGTTCCGCAGGTTGTGCCGGTGGTTGCCTCAAAGACTGCGAGTAATTTTTATTGTTAGATTGCGCAAAACCGTTTGTAAGGGGTTTTGCAAACGATTGATGGGGCTGATAGTTGGGCATTCTTTTCGGGCTGTTGGAGGCAAAATTGGGTTGACTGTGGTTGGGTTTCCAATTTTTGTTTTGCACAATTTGCTTGCTCTGGTCCAATTTTGGAGAATACGTTCCATTTGCGTAGTGTGGTTTGGTGATTTGTGGCGAATCTGATTGGCGCGCTGGTGAGTTTCTGTATGTTCTGGCTCGTTCAGGTTCGCTGGTAATTTGGGCAGTGTGAACGTCGTTTCTGGCAGGTGATTGGCGTAAATGTTGCGGACTATCCAGGCGAATCGGATTGGGCGAATTATCAGATAAAGCTTGAGATATTGAGTCCAGGTTGCGCAAGGGGGAATTTCTGGACTTGTAGTAGTTTCTTTTAAAGTTTGGCGTTTTGCTATACTTGGGCGCGCTCCTGAACGGCCTACTCTCATTCACAACCGGTTTTGAAACTTCCGCTACCACAACGACGACGTCTTGCTTTTCTTGCTGCTTAACCGCTTCCAGCTTGGAAACCACTGTAGCAATATCGATAACTTTGCTATGAACTTGCAGTTTGTTATCGTCTACAATGGGCGTGTGTGAAGGTGTTGCTGTAGTTTCTCTTTCGTTCTCTTCCCTGATAACCTCGTGTTGTTCGGAATTAGTTTCATTGATTTTCGGTTCGCCGACAATCGGCGGGGTGTAATTAACGTAGCCCGGAGCGGGAGGCGGAAACATTTTTTGCCCCAAATGTTGAGGAATGAAATTGATTGGAAATCCTGGGGGAATAAATGCTGGGTGGGGAGTGAAGCTCTGGCCTGCAAACTCTCCTAGAGGAACCAGGGGAATTGGCATGAAGTTGGGGGGAATCATTTTGATATGGGGTGGGGGACCACAGGGTTGATACACGCGGGGGAAAAATTCTTCAGCATCCGCTTTCAGAACTGAGGGTCTCTTAGTTTCGGCGTTGCATTGAACTTGATCTTTACCAGATATTTCTTCGTTAGAATCAGTCTTTTGATCGAGACCGCAATTCGTAAGGGATTGATCGATATTAGTAACTTGTTCGCTTGCAGTCTTAGTGATTTTATCGCCTACACGACTATCGGCATTGTTAACGTTGCGCTGTTGAGTTTCAGCCGATTTTTCCTTAGGATCTACTGGGAGTGCTTCGCCACTCACGGAAACTTGCGAAGCCTGTTCTGGTATGCTGACTCGTTGCACTGAAGAGCTTCCAGTCGTTTCGACATCGGAGTTCTCGTCTGTACATTCGGATGAGTCTCCGACCACTGTTTTTGACGATTTGCGTTCACGGCGTTTTTTCAACTTTTTCACCGGTTCCGACGAGTATTGATGTGTATCCTCCAAGTCTAAAACAAAAAGAAAAACTGTGTTGACTTGTGTAGTGCTTTCCCCAATTGTTAATAACAGCTGAAGCTGAAGGATATAAATTGCTCATAAAAGCCGTTTTTTATCGGTGTCTCTTTGGATTAATTTCGTTAAATTCTTGATGAAATAGTTGAGTTTTTCTAGCTTTTCATCGTTGCCATTTAACCCTTCTCTATTTGCGACTAATTTTAATAACAGCGTTTAGAAAACATAGCAACAAATTGTTTTTGGAATGTTCTCCTCAATACAGTTCAGTTCTGGAGTTTTCAAATTAATTTAATCTCTAGAATCACTTCCTTAAATGACACGTTAGTTTTTTTCCAAACAACTTACTAATTTCATTTAAACCTGAAACCCAACTGATGGTCGAAACTGTTGAGCCTTTTGGACCTTTAGGCTGTCGTGATATAGAATTTCTCTAAAACTCTGGGCAAATTCCCGCCAGGCTGATTGTATCATTTAATAACACTGGTGAAAATTGAGTTAAATTTTGCAAAGATACGCATTCGAAGATGAAAGTTGTCGCCAAAGGAGTTTGGTTTGCTTCGAAATAGGTTTCAGACAAATAGTCTAAAAATAGGGGTCTAAAGGTGTCGCTAATCTATTTACTTAATGACGATTGGCAAACGATCACGTGAACGGCACTCAAAATGTATAAACTTTCAGCGAATACTTGGCCTGATTTCAAATAGAGTCCATTACTCTTTTGAGCAGGAAGTGGTGCTGTCTTATTGTAAACTCGACGAAATCAGCATTCAACATGAATGTTTCCCATTAAATAAATTACTTACCAGGAGGTGTACAAACGCCATTAACGTAGTAACCGGGATAAATCATGTTGTAGACCGGAGGGCCGCCACTGTAGTCTGATACGCCACCATTTGAGACATCTCCTCCACTCTGACTTAAATCTTGACTAGTTGCTTCCTCGTTATTCGGACTCATGGATTCGCTCTGAAAAAAGGGAAACCGACTTAAGTCGTTGCCAAAAATCTATAGTTTTCTCTCTAACTTTCTCATGGCTTTAACATTTCAACATCGCACTCAATAATATTATTTTCGTCAAGTGCTTGCCAAGTTTTGCCGTGCAGGTGGTTTTAAAACACCTTATGTATTGTTAACACGTCAAATATCAGAACAACACAAGTGTTAATTCAATTTGTAACTTCAATTTTTAATTGTGTTTTTCCATTCTGGGGACTTTTCAGAAAGTTTCACAATTATAAAAAATATTTTTCCATAAGTAATCAGCTTTTAAAAGTCACATAATATGTAATTAAAACTGAAGAAAATTGCTTTGGAGCAAAACATAAAAAACCGATACAACGAAGTGAACAAAAGCAATTTATATAGTTAGCAGATTATTTGCATTACTGAACTGAAATTTTTATATTTTGCTGATATTTCCCTCTACTAATTAACAAGGTTAAAAGCTTTGATTGCTTTCGTTTGTTACTTAATTAACTGGCTCAGGCCTACATTTCTTTTCAAGTTTCTTTACGATAACACATTCACTTTTTGTACTCAAATAAATCGCAAGATATAAATTGAAATTCAAACATTTGGGCAATTAATATAAATATTTTCAGCCATACGTAACTTACATTCAGAGCCGCAGTGCTACTTTCAGAATTTATTATGTAAATTTAGAAACAGACACCGGTTTTTAAGAAGATAATGAAATTTGATGGAGATTCATTGATACGGTCAATTTCAGTTCTGAAAATAAACACTGGCCAATCGATGGAAATTGTGAGGTGGAAATAGTGTGATGGTTTTCAAGAGTTATTGATATAAGATGCAATAAAATGCAGCCAATGCATACATTTGGAAATACAGGGTGTTTAAAGTCGTAATTTGATTCGAATATTTATTTAAATTCTGCAAAATGATTCCCTCTGATTTCATTGGCAGCGACGTATTTTTTTGTCACAATTATTCACGTAAACCAGTGTAAACGCTATTCATCATTTGAGGCCAAAATTAAAAATCCAGACGATCCAAGTCCAGCAAAAGCGCTCCGACGCCCAATTCAACGATTTAATTCTATAATTTGCAAAAACCTTAACCTGTAGAGACAAAAAAATTGTAACATGATAAGGTCTGGACACCAGTCTAATTTATTTTTGTTGAGTCCAGTATTACCGAATCTTATGGCTGGCCAGTTATAATTTTTTTTAAATATCACATTTTGCTCAGCAGCTGAATAAATCGGTTGACAAGTCGAAACTACTTTGTATTGTTATATGGGTATTTTAAGGTGGAACATTTGCTATAAATACAACGAAATTGACCGGCGTTACCGCACAAAATTGGGATTCCATTGGGCCTGCCAAAATATCCAAGCGGAAAAATTAGACGTCTTGTTTTCAATGTTCAACAATTTTTCTTCACGCCTCACTTCGGTGTATGTCAGGGGCAAAGAGGTGATTCTCCAGATACTTTGTTATAAATAGGTCTATTTTGATAGTCTATAGGGTGTCGTCTGGGCCAGTGTCAATTAAAAAAAGACATAAATAAAAAAAGTACAAGTTCTAAATGGGTTTCCAGGGTCGAATCGCGCTAGTTTGCAACCAATCGCATTCATTCCGGTTTACGTTAATTAAGTACGATTTTATACGTTTACAAGTAGCTATATCGAAAGCCCACGCTGCTAGCTTGTAGTAAAACTCATTTGAACTCCAGCCAAGCGTATAAAAATGTGCCGATTGTAATCACCAGGTCCAAGTTACTCATCTACAAGTATTCTCTGGAGAATGCCGGGGGCATCCAGAAAATTTCCATCTCACTCTTTTGCGTGGCGGTTTGTTAATGAAGGAGCAAGAACACCGAAGCTAATTAGTACTAGGACTTTTTTCTAGACCTGTCTGTCTATTTTTAAATAAATTTTTGGGGGCTATAGGAATTGCTTAATTACTTCTAAGTGACTTAAGCACGCGTGTCTCCTTTTTTAAATATACCTCAGTTAACTCAGTTGGGAGAGGAAATCAGTGGCGTGGGTTCAAAAAATAACAATGGTACTCGTGTCATTAAACCCAATAAACCAATATTGCTTCTGGTAATTCTTGCATATTCTAGTTCAAAGTGGAAAGCACAGCCCTGGAAAATTGGCAGCGTTTTTTTATTTGCATTTATCTATCTAGTTTCTACATTAAAGCACTTCAGCGATGTTAAGAGCTAGTGGCCGATAAGATGATATTAAATCACTTTAATTATGTCGATATTTTATGAAATTTATATTATTTAATTGTTGTTTATTTAGACCCACGAGTGACCGGTAATTAAAACCGCAATTATAATGATTAATATAATACTGGAACTAGATTGACAGGATTTAACTAATGAATTAGACTAACAGGCATATGAACGTGTCGCTGCCAAGTAGCTGCCAGTTTGCCAGCATTCAAACGTATCCTCCGGTATAATGAATGTTGCATTATATACTGGGTGTAGGTTTTAAAGTGCTACAAAACATTTGGTACGTCTAAGCGTCAAGCTATTTTCGCTCGACATAGATTCGGAGATTGCTTGCTAGCTTGAGAAATATCTGACAATTCAAAGAGTTTTTTAAAAATATCGAGTTAGACTGACCTACTGCCTTCGTTTACGCGAAACTACCAGACACGATCCATACTCCAACAGACTGATCGCTAGTAGGAATATACATTAGTCGATTAAACAATAGCATGATGTGTACAAACCTTCCAAACCAAGTTGCATAACAAATTGATAATACTTATGAATCGAACCGTTGTTACGCCAATATTAGGGGATATTAGAATAATGATTGCAATATTTTCGACATATAATTACCAAAATAGTTTATAATAAATTTGCATAAAGATAAGCATTTAATTGATTTCAGAAATGTTATAAATCAATGCTGCATGGTTAACTGTGGAAGAGTAAACTTTACATGCAATGACGATCAAATGCAAACATGTTAAAAGCGAAAAATAATATTGGTTTTGTTAATAATCAAATGTAGGTATTTATGGACTTGACCAGGTTTGCCATGCAGGTGTATTGTGTAGTAATATTGGAGAAAAAAGCATATTTTGACGGGAACCAAATTGTCGTTTCAAGTGCTAAAATTTAATATAAATATCTAATGTTCCTTGAAGACAGTTTACTAACAACTGCTCGGGTTTTTAAGAAAGCGCGCATTTGTTACGTGATATTCCTGTTTGGACCCGCTATAAAATAGCAGCAAAAAATTAGAATTCTGTTCGATTTGAATGAAAACTTTACCATTTTCAGAACCGAATATCTACTGCATCCTGTGTAGCTTTCAATGCTCTACTTGCTCTCGCTGAGTAGTTAGAAATTTTTTAAAGAGACCGCGCATTTGTAGGAAATTTTATTTTTTATATAATGTTTACAAAATATAGTTTTCGGCCCGCGTTTAAACAGCAGGCAAACATTCGAATTAATTGTGATTTAAAGGAACATTTCAACATTTTCAGATTCGACTATCTACTATGTCTTTCAAAACTTTGAAGGTGGTTTGGTAGTTACAAATTTTATAAAGACAGCGCGCATTAAGAAGAAAATGTTCATTTTAGAGGCGCGTTTAAACAGCAGGTCAAAATGAGAATTTCATGCGATTTCAAAGAAAAGTTTACAATTTTCAGACTCGGGTATCTACCAAATCTAGTAACACTTTGAAAATTTTACTTGTTCGTGTTTAGTAATTACGATTTTTTTAAAAGAAAGCGCGCATTTATTACGTGACATTCCTTTTTGGACCAAACCGGACCGTTATAAAGCAGATTTTTTTTTATTTGGTGCGGTTTGAATGAAAACTTTACAATTTTCGGATCTGAGTTTCTACTGCACCTTGTAAAACTTTCAATGTTCTACCTGCTCTGACTGAGTAGTTACCAAGTTTTCAAAGAGAGTGCGCGTTTAGTAGGAAGCATTTACTTTTTGGACCCGCGCTTCAACAGCAGGAGAAAAATCGAATTCATTGCGATTCAACAAAATTCTTAATTTTTAAATTCGAGATTCTACTATGTCTTATGAGACTTTGAAGGCTCATTTTTGTCTGGTTTAGTTGTTACAAACTTCTAAAAAAAGTACGCATTAAGAAAAAAATGTTTATTTTAGACCCGCATTTAAACAAGCCAAAATCATAATTTCGAGCGATTTCAAAAAAAAATATCTCAATTGTAAGACGCGACTTGCTACAACCTACTTGCTCGCGTTTAGTAATTAAGGTTTTTTTAAAAGAAACCGCGTATTTATTACGTGATATTCTTTTTGGGTCCGCTGTTAAACAGCAAAAAAATATAGAATTCTGTGCGATTTGAATGACAACTTTCCAATTTTCAGATCCGAGTATCTACTGCATCTGTGAAACTTTCAAAATTCTGCTTAAAGTATGACTTTTTTTAAAGCACGCGTTTAGTAGAAGTCGTTCCAAGATCCACAATTAAACAGGGGAAAATGAGAATTCAGTGCGATTTCAAATTAAATTGCAACCAAAGTGCAAAAAGGGATCAGATTACTGATGGATCGAAACTCTACTAGTGAGTTTCATTGCATGAGTTTCATGTCATAACTGCACAATTCACAGAAAAGTGTTCAACTTCACCGCATAACCGCAGTTTTCATTGAAACTGGTAAGTTTTTGAACCCAAAAAAACAACTTCATCTTCATTCTGTTTTTTAATTTTATTTATCGAGTAATTAAAATGCCTACTGATTACAATTCATCAAAAAGTTGTCCTAATGATCTCAATAAATAAAAATACTTTCTGAAGATCAGATTCACTTTTCGCTAATCATCACTTACCCTACCGAAACCAGGTTATTTATTTAAGATTGGCATAAAAATAAAATAATTTTCCGTGTAATAATCACAAATTTTTCCACGCGTATTACTGATACACTGGGTAAGCAAACGATAAAAGTCCCAAAAAAATCCACCACGAAATAGGTTCATCCGCAGTACTAATCCAAGACCTGTGACTGTGGCGCGATGAAACACCTTCCATTTTAACATGCTAGATTTATCCCATCATAAATAAGTGTCGCTTCAAGTTGTACGATAAGGAATTTATTATATGTTTTTTACTTAAAGTTGGAACCGAGATAAAGTAAACGCCACTATCTGGAACTCTGATAAAAATTCTCAGAACCGTGGTTAATTTACGGACCAGACTACTTATGTCGTAACCGCACGAGGATAAGAATTAATAAACTGGTGTAGAAATCCATCAATTTCAAACCAATCATGTCGAATACGATTAATATAATTAATCCAAGAAGTTTTAATAAACACTAAACAGTAGGAAAACTTGCAAACTAACCGACATCAGCCTCATTCATTCATCTACACACCGATTAGTTCTCTGTCGATTCACTTTGAACAGTCGCAGTATGATTTTTTTCATTTATATGACATAATGAACGTTCCAAGAAAACCGATTTACAAAAATTCCAGTGTAAAATTAGATACGGAGATCCCCATTGTGGTTACCCAACAATAAAGCAAATTAAACGTATATAATATAGGTAAACTTACCAAGGAACCCGTGCTGTATCTCTTGGTTTTGCTTGAAAATTCCTGATAGTACGTAGGTGGGTTGAATAACATTAAAGGATATGGTTCGTAACCTGCAAAGAAAAACACACTTTGTACCAAACAGTTTTGATTCAATTTTCTGCGATTTTAGTAGGTTTTAGAAATACTTTGATTAATTTTAATTTAAATGTCGTACAAAAGAAATAAATAGTACTACGCAAATCCATCATTTTCGATAAATAATGCGAATAATCCTTCTCACAATTGACTATCTATAACGCAATATCCTTTCGCAATTAAGTTAATTCGTACTTACTATTGACGTAGTATATTCCGTTTTGATCAACAAAACCATTCGGGAACATAAACTGAGATTCATAATCCAAATCTGCAACGAAAAAATATTCATTAAAAACCAGGATTTCAGAGAAGAAACTTTAAAAGAGTTTTTCCGTCAACTCACCGGTGGATTGGTGATCGGGAGTTCCATTTTCTGTGGAATTACCCGTAGAAATCGTCGAATTGCCTGTGGAAGTTTGAGTGTGATACGTTTTCGGTTTATTCAAGTAACCCTTCTTAAATAGAACGTCTTGCCTAGGAGTTGTGATTCGCGTGTATTCATCTGAAACAATCGAAATCAATTATAATTTTTGTTTATAACAAATGTCACCATTCTTCATTTATCGTGTAAAAATAAAAATCGCATACACTTATAACAATTTAAAATTAGTCGAATAAATAATTGATAGAACTTTATTTGTTAGACAACTTTTACGCTGTAACTGTAATCAAGTCATCAGTCAAGATCGTCATATTAATAAGCACACTCAAATATCCTTGAGTAATACACATTAGACATGACATGAGAATTACATATAATCCGAAAAAAGCAATTTTTATTTGTTTATCGTGCATAAGACTAAAATTAAGTGGTTTGCAATTAGTTCACTTATTTCAGTTGCGAGGACAATTTTAGAAAATAATGCGTGTAAAATTACACATTGTGCGGAATTGCACGAATCGGACACTTTGAAGCATAAAATATGTACATTATGTATGTTTTTACTATTTTTACTGGTAATAATATCGGTTGTATGATAATTGAAGTAAACTTGGCCCCTGCAAGTTAAACACATGTACACCCAAACCGGAGAAGGCCAAACTAAGAACAATTAAATTGAGCAAAGTATGTCAAAATAAACTTTTGCAGATAAAAACGGTGAATTTATCCTGACATTCAAAAACTATTAAGTCCAATATTTAATATCAAAATAGAATTCCTTGGCAGTCGTAGACGGAAATATAAAATAAATTTGGTGGAACAGACTGAAAATCCCCCAGATCTTGAAAATTCATCGGCTGCTTAGTTCCTTAATTAATGGCATTCATTTTCTGGATTTTCATGTTTACACTGAGAAATTGATTCATAAAAGTCTGGGCGTCCAATGTCTCTTTTTTTTGAATGATGAAAAACACGACATTTTATTACGGGTTTATCTAATCTAGCGCCCCTATTGTAGTTGATTTTACAAAACCCATACTAAAAGACATCCCATGTAGATGTAGATTTTTGGCTTTTAGTAGCTTGAATCGAACTGGTTAGATTGTATTTTGAACATTCAATATTTTCCTTATGTATTTATTTACTCAACTGATTGTTACGGTCTTCGGCATCAGAATGGTGAAAGTTTACTATGTTAAGTTTAAATAAACGATTTCGCGGCCGTTACATGAAACTGGGGAGTTTTGAGAGAAATCAAAAAGAAAAAAATATTGTTAAATGTGGCCGTAAAGCCCGAAAGGCTCACCAGTTTTATCATCATTCTGTTTTTAATTATACATACATGTATTTAATTATAATTACATTTATCAAGTCTTGAAACTCGCCAGTTTGAAGATCCAGACCCAAATCGATAGCAAGCAATTTATCTAAAATTTGTCCTAAAGTTCTTTGCAGATAAAAATACGTTCTAAAGTGTAAATTGATTTTTTTCTTGATGGTCGCTATCCTACCAAGCCATAAATTTATGTGGATTTTCTCCAACATGTTTACATTGAGAAATTGATTCATAAGAGGTAATAATAATTATGCAGTTTATCAGTTGTTTTCAAATAATGATGGTTCGTATCTGGTGGTTTTTGTAACTGGTCTCTTATTCGGTAAGGGGCAGGCAATAATGACCCATTTATGATAAGAAGCAATGAAATAGTTCCAAAACATCGCTATTTGTACTGGTGGTTAACGTCAATGTTTATTAATAATATTGTTCTTTTACTGCTAATTTAGTAGTCGCCCAGTAAATTATTTATTTTGGTGGCAAATTATGAAGAAATTTGTAAATCGGGAATGAGTATTGTCAAACATCAAGTTATTAACGCAATGAGATGTAATTTTGGCAAACAAAGCTGGATATTTTGTTGTTCAAATATTTAGTTCTCTCTGTTGATTCAACTGCGGTTCTATTAACATTTCATGGAAAGTTTAAAGAAATCATTTAATTTTAACGTTGTATGAATAAATAGGTGGCATTAGTTGATAATAGGCGAAAATACCTACTCCATATGTAGCGCTAGGCATGCGTTGAATTCACTACACACTCACGTTGTGGATGTGCATCCAGAAATGCATTGTATCAATTATTTTTAAACGCAACCTTGACATTAACTTAACGCTTATTTTTCAGCACCGGTCGAGCTTAAAAAAAATCGGGCAGAGTGAACCAATATTTGGCTAAAAATTAACAGTGCCGATGTTGGTTTTGGCCCCGGCTTGAGACAGATCGATTAGCATGCGACTATGTTGACTGTTTCGGTTAAAATGGTTAACATGTGAGTCTCTCATAGTGTTCAAAAATTGGTGTCTAGTGATTATTTTTTGGGGCAAAATATTCCAAAAATCTCGGCTTTGCAATCAACGTGTGCATTCAATATAGTATCGTCCTCATCGGCCTTGCGAATTTAAAACTGGGACACTCTCACGTGCCTATTTTGACGCGTGTTAACTATTAATGGCGGGGTCGGCTGGATTTATATCATTCTATGAGCCTAAGCTGATGAATTCCAATGTATAAGGCCGATTATTTCGGCAGCTTAATTTCCAGCGATCATTTGCTACAATCGATTGTTTAAACATTACCTAATATTGCGCAATTTGGCTCCCCAGATAAGAATGTTTCATTACATAATTTTACAATTATTATCTAGCGAGCCCGGGTATCTTTGTGTGCTTTTGGGAAGACGATGAAATAGTGCTTATCGAACGCGCTTGCATCTTTAAATTATGTTACACATTATTTATTAATAATAGTCCAAGGGTTAAATGGAAAGCTACACCGGTATCCAGAAATAGTTGGCAGACGGAATGGAATGAAATTATGATATGAAAGTGATATTAATGTATCTAAGGAATTTTTGAGCCCAATGCGCTTAACAACACGATGCTCAATGAAGATACCGGTATGAACTACTTTGCTCCACACTATCACAATGATTTACTAATTCGTCACAATGTGTTAATCAGCTTGAATACACCAGTTGAAACAGTGACAATGCATTTAAAGTCTGTCCAATAATGATGAAATTTAACAAATTTTTCGAGTTTAAGACAGTGATGATTTGGACTTTTCCGGAATTTTATCTCGTGTATCCAAGTGTACCTATATGAAAATGTTCCATCACCCATATAACCCCTATTATACCGGGACTAAAATCCTGATAGAAAATGTCCACTTACCTTCGTTAAAAATAATTTTGTTTTCACTGGTCGTGCTACTCGACCGGGTACTTTTCGTGCTACCATCATATTGGTTGTACCGTCTACGCGCCGGAGTCGATTGACTAGAATAAGAATATTTGGAATAGTAACCGTTGCTGTTGCTTCGAGAGTATCGGCTAGAAACCGCTGAGGAGTTTGTATTGGACTCTTCACTGTCGCTGTGTTCATCTGGAAAAAAATATCTCGGTCAAACTCCTGAATATTTTGGACATTTTTGCAGCTCACTAGCGATGCCACTGGTCTTAAATACATGTAGGAAACCTCCCAACATATACCGTTTGCTGGCAAATATCAGTTAATGGCTGTTATAAATTATTAGTATCACCGGCAAGTAGGACATCGTAAAAATGTCCGGCGACAATTTTTGGAAGCTTCAACTCAATAAACAGTTTTGATAACTGGGATAACGGTAGCAGCAAACACTAATACGTTAAGCTACTGTTGATTTTAACGATTGGTTAGGGATACATTTTGCTCTCGGCTTAAGGCGCGCCTGGATTACCGTGAAAAGAAAATATAAGATCAAAGTTAGCTTTTATCTAATGACTTGTAATACTAGATCAACAATTTGAGCAATCTTCTCGGTGGAAACCATCAAAACCTCAATAAATCATGTTAAATTAGAATTACAACTATCTTTGTACTTACCACATTTCAGAATCATTGTGGAACATTAGCTAATTAATATAATGATTAAACTGCATCATTTTTGACTTATTAGGAAGGTTATAGAACCATCAGACAGACACTCGGAAAGGGAAAAGGCTCTATGATGTGAATAAAGCAAAGGCCTGCATTGTTATGTTGCAATCCAGAGGAGTGAATATAAAAACGAATCAATCGCACATTATCGCTTTACTGAGCAAAATATTTTGGTAGATTTTTGCTCCATTTTGAACTTCGTTTGGGTTCAATTTGCCAGCATGTTGTTTCATGTAACCGCTTTCATTAATTAAATCGCTTTTTTCCAATGCTTATCCAAGTTCTCGAATACGACTTTTATCGATATTTTGGACTTTCCGCCAAAAGCCAAGAAAAAGACTATTGAGGCAGAATTCATAAATTTGAACTGTTGTGCAATTTACATCTCTTCAACTATATATAAGTTGGTAAATTCAGTTGTTCTGGTCAAGGTTTGCACAGTTCGTTTGTAAAAACCTAAAATGACGATTAAATGAATTAAATTTAACTTGAAACTCAATAACACAGTTGCCAGAGCGGGGAATTTCGTAAATTCAATCAAGCAAAGCAAGTACAAATCAAGCAAAATGTTCAATTTGGCCCAAACATGGTACACAAGGAGAGTGCTTAGAGCGTCTTTAACAAGTCCAATTGAACAAATCTGAAATTTCATTTGCAAAAGAGAGCCATTTGATATGTGCACGAAAAACTTGAAATTCCAGTTAATTTATTAGGATCTGTCGACCCAAATACCGTTACTTCCCGTTTATTTGCGCCAGTAAACATCCAGCGCTGAAAGTAAACATTTGTAAAAATAGGGGAAGAAAAATTGCTGTTTATTGACGATGAGAACCCGACAATGAGCCTGTTATTTATTGCGTAGAAATAGGCGAAATGAGAGATTAACGTACCAGATCAGCTTTTAAATTTTCTAGTTGCTTAGTTAGCTGAAACTAAATATACGAAATATGCATAAGAACTTTGCTCTATTTGTCTCTTTTTGCTCAATTTTTGAAAAACCAATAGAGACTCAGACAAAATACCAAATATATGGATCCAAAGACCGAACGAGTCCCTAAAGGGCAAATTGTACATTATTGTAAATAGCCAACAATTTAACATCCGCACTTTTCAAATGCTGTTGCCCCTTGGGATTGTCAGAGTATAATAATTTATCGTTTCCATAATATGAACGACCCCAATTTTGCCCTCGAAAGGGCTGGTTATTGATTTTGTTAACTCAGCACTTTCGACTCAGCTCCCTTTTCCCAACTGCAATACTTTCGGTTTTCTGAACAGTTGAGTGTTGGAACATTATTCCTTGCCCCTGTATATTCTTGCAACCTGGCTGACGATGTGTAGAAATCAATCAAAAATGACAAGCCCAGCTTAAGAGACCCATGCAAAGATGAAACTATTTAGTTACAAACGACAAGTTTCTTGGTTACATCTGGTGGGTTCTTTACATCTTTCATATCGTTACCATAATTATGCCAGAAGTGACAAATGAATCTCAAGCTTGGATGCCCATCAACATGCATAACTGCTATTGGATGTTAATTAAGAAGAACAATACATTTCTAAAGCAGCCAAAGTGAATAAATGTTTTACAACATTAATGCTTATATTGATCAATGTATCTCATTTCCATTTGGCTGTCGGCCAGTTTATGCGAAAAATAAATGAAATTAGGAGTATTCTAGTTCCTGCCACATAAAATACAACAGAGTCAGAGAAAAAGGTGAGCTGAAACCAAGCTAGAGCAAATAATATCGACTTTTGCATTCGCTGTTGGCTCTATGCCCTTTTAGAACGGAAACTGGGCTTGTTTCAAGAGATTAGGTAAGTGCATTTTACGTCGGCATATGTGTGTGTGGTGCGGGTATTTTTAGATCCATTTAATGCAGAATTAGCATGGAAAACTCCACTATGTGACGGAAAACTATCAACATTTTATCGTTGTCTCTGCAATTTGTTATTCACATTGAGGGTATTATTGAAATTCGCAATAGAATGCGAGTTTTCTGTCATTTTGAATTACTTCTCTAGGCTTTATCACACAAAAAATTATACAGCAAATCAACGTTCCTTTCGAATCAATTACAAACGGAAAACAGAAAAAAACACTGAATAGACGAAGTACTTTTCTGCTTTGAAATTGATTGTTTTATTCAATAACTTATCAAACAGACAATACCTGAGTAAACTGTATGAATGAACAGTTGTGGGTTTCTACCTAGTTCAGACGAATAAAATTTCACTTATCCTAAAGCTATCTCAAAGAAGATTTCCGTTATACGTCGGTTAATTAATCATTTCCGACAGCTTTTCTGTGAAATCGCCGTCCTTGTTGCACTTTACATCTCAGCCCTCCTGGGGGCCTTGGGTCAAAGAATCAATGGGACTTAAATCTGGAAAATCAGGTGGCCTTTAGGGCCAAACTTAATGGTAATTAATTGTCATTTGGTCAAATTTACTGCGTTCCTACTAAAAAACCGATTATCCCAAATGGCGTTTTCAAGAGTGAAGAGAATACTTCTCGAAAGTGCCGTAGGGAAAGTAAGACAAGGAACCCGAATTTGTAAGAAATGCGAAGCCAAAAGACAATCCTGGATAAAATTAGACCGAGTTTCAGATGAAATTAGCTTTTGGCAGGCAAAATGTCCCTGTTAAGAAGCGATTATGCAATTTTTAATTTATTTATAGCCAATTTGTTTATCACTGAATGAATTCTTAGTTGTCCGCCCCATAGTGCCGAGGTAAAAATAGTCCACTAATTTTTTCTCTATTCCCTTGGCGTGTTATTTCAGGATATGAATCAATAGTAGTTATTTTTACAATGTCATTTACCTTCGGGAAAAAAATTATAATCGAATATTGAACCGCCTGAGCAAGACGCCACTTGTCTCAGTAATGATTTAGATGAATACTTTCGGATCGTTTCCAACAGTTTTTCGTTAAACTAAGAATAGCTCCAGACTAGACGCACAAGATTAACTTCCATGTCGTTAGGGATGAAGTAGAAATATTCTTGTTCGAAGCTCGATTCATTTTCTACATTTTTAAATGTCATTCGAAGCGTTGATGGCTTAATTAATTTAGCATAAACAATTGGTAACGCTATAATTTGCTTTTAATTGTGCTGAACATTTAGCTAATGAAGTATGAAATTAATTGATGATCTTGAGGTCGAAACATTCGATTACGAATAAATTCAATTCACTGAAAAACTGTTGGCAACCTCATCCAGAGAMACGATTGAGGGATGATTAATCAGCTCAATTAATTGTTTTTCGCTCTACAAATGGGACGACATTACTCGACAGGATTTAAGCATGTAARAGGAATCAATCGAATTAGTATCGAGTATATAGAATCGAAAAGTATTKCATTCAATTTTACAGTTTATWCGAGTATTTACASATTAGATATTATTCARGTTRWSMAGGARRTATTTWSTTSSTKCTAGTTTTTAGTAATTAATGGTTGACWACKCRAAGYGRAGAMGCMAGGAAAKMATWTATTTTCTTCARRACKKTCTTTTCAACAAAAKYTSARAAAAWSTCWTYACWTTYRWCTRAMTATRTAKTTG